CAGTGATGCAATCAATGTAGTCGTTCGAGAATTTGAAACAAACTTAATTAGAAATGGACCATTTTGAGTGAATAAAAGTTGCAACACCTCCGCCACATTTTTTCTTGTAACGAATACGGTCCTGTCGGAATACATACACTATAGACATATATAAGTCATGGAGCCAGGTTTCTTGCAGAGTGACAATACCAGTATTTCGATAAATTTTGGACGATAAAAGAGAGTGAAAATCCAGAATTTCGTTCGGCAGGGACCCGCAGTTGATACTAATGATAACCGGAACAGTGGTGTGATGTATGGGTGTAGATTTTAAATCACGTCGCCAACCACCATGGTGCTTTTTCTTGGATTTTTTGGAAATATGGCAGTTTTTGGGTTTTAAACATCTTATATAATCCCGGAAGTGAATAATGCGATTAGGATGCATAAATTGATACGTAAACATCAATAGAATATGAGTAAATAGAAGCAAAATGTACATGGAATATGGTAGTCCAGAATATTCAAATAGAAGTGTCGCTAACTAAAAACAATAATAATATTTTAATACTAACGTATTAAGTTCAACATAAAGTGAAATCTGAATAGTATGAAATACTTTCACCCAAAGATTTTCTATGAAGCGTAGTTAGTTAACATTAAATCTACAAGAGATGTTGGGTATTTTATAATAGGTAATAATAATAATATAGCCTCGATAATTTGTCGAAGTGATGACTAATTAACCATGTTTTACATAACGAAATCACAGAAATATGTTGACCATTTTATTTTCATCAGAGTTATCAGGAATGGAAAGTAAATTAAATTTGCATTCATTAGATGAGTTTGACCTGATGTGCAAGTGCTCTATGAGCGTCACATCACAGTGATATATATATATATATAACAAGGTGAGTCGGTGGTATAGTGGTTAGGACGCTCACCGACCATGCACGTGGTCCGGGGTTCGATCCCCGGCCGACGCACTCCAAACCTCGTTAATTCAGATATAATGCTGGTAAAGCGGAAAGGTTGGGCATGAGGCTAGCAACTCCATTCTGTGAAATAAACACTGCTACACAAACTTCAAGCCACTAGCTTGAAGCCCTATGTTCCACTGGGGTAATTGTTCTGAGCGAATAGGCGAATTTTTATGAAACAGACGAAAAAGTCAGTTAAGAAACGAAATATGCAGAGACAGATGACAGATATCAATGGTGACCACGAAAACAAAAGATCCCCATATGTGAAAATAGAACAATACATCAAAACACAGCGTGCATTTGCATGGAAAGCAGCTGTAGAAATTTCCCGAAATCTTCAACAGTCACCAATAAAATATACAACTTGAATTTTCAACTATCAAATGAGAGAGTTTATGTCTTAAAAGATAATTATTAGGCTCATTTGCATTCTTGAATTACTAACCAGTATGGCTCAATATGGAATGCATAACTGATCAGTTTCAAAGTTTGAAACGAATCAACAAGTAATTTTATAATATCGATGCTACCTACTTTAAAGCCAGTGAAACAACTGAGATCATATTAACCTCGTTTACTGCATACTACTAAATGAAAGGCAAAATGTAGGATTTCAGTCATCGAAATATAACCACTGTTCGTATATTTAAGACATTTACAAGCATCTAACTGCCTGGTGACTTATCAACAACCACCTATTTCCATGAAAGCTAATTTTATAATGTGAAATTATTGCATAAACTCATCTGTATAAATGAACATTCAAAAATCTGAAGGCAGTCGAACAAACATTTGATAGTGCCTTTAAAAATGGCGTGCGAATACATCTAAATATTTTATATCGTTTATGGCAAATAAACACCATAATTAGTTAATATCAGTAAAAAGTTTGAGCATTGTGGATTAGATCAAATAAAGTATAATTATATTTTAATAGTTTACACACAATGATAAGTTTTGTTATTGGTAATATTTCGAGCAAAATTACCAATAACAAAACTTATCATTGTGTGTAAACTATTAAAATATAATTATACTTTATTTGACCATAATTAGTAATTATGTACTGATAGCAATTTAACAACAACCACATGTCAGTTCATTTATTATCTTTATTTGTTCCGAACCACGCAAGAAATGAGTAGCGTGTGGCACACATTTCTCACTAGCACTCCATTTAATGGACTTTTGTAAAAAAAATACATTTCTGAAAGTGCAATGCCTACTGTTTACCCCATTGTATGTTGAATACTTTAATAAACTACACATAATTACATTATATACTCTACTTTTACCACTATATGTGAGTTCGTATCTCCGTGTTGCAAGATTAGCAGGAAATGTTTGCAATGTGGTACACAATTTTCTCTGTAATACCATTTGATCCACTGCTGTGAAGTAAACGTAAATTGAAAAGAATGCAGATAAAGATGGTGTGAATGACGTATTAAACATTGACAGATAACATCAAGAAATCGGAAATTCCCTATTGAGAGGAAAAGGAGCTGAGCCGCACATTATTCTATACCAAATGTGTAAACAAAATCAATATATTCCGGTTTTACATGATATGCATGTTTGTGTGGTCGAAATTCCTGTGTGGTTTCTTAGAAACGTTAACAGCCAGTTCCTGCAGACTTTATCGGATTTCAGCGTATGTGAGTTATCTACTCTTAATATATAGCTTATTGTTTGCTCGGTGTTAGCTCATAACTGCAAAATGTATTCAGCATCACAGTCGAGTGGGTTTACGAGGGTCTCTGATGCAGATAATAGGTCTATCTGCCAAGTGCTCAACCGGTTCCTACCAATCATTTCATCACACAGTGCTGCCAAAGTGCTTCAAGCAAATCCATTATCCTTAATCCCATATTCACATTACCTCTTCTTCAACCAGAAATGAATGTGAGCTAATCTACTGTCTGCGTCCGTTCTCAGTAAAGTGTGACATCTTTGTCGAAATCTCTGCGAAATGATTGCTAATCTAATTGATGCATTTCTGTATTATAATCCTCCATTGGTTGCGGGGGATTCTTAAGTGTTAGAAGTGGAAAATATTAGAAACTGTTAAACGATGAATATGGCGAATCTGCATGCCTTTAGTTCATCAGGGGCTCAAGAATTGTTCTGGTACTTGTCTTGGATTTTCCTTTTACCAACCATGCCGGATAATGTTCAGAGATGCGATTTGAAAGTGTGCGATTTGTGCGGCCAATATAACTAGCTCTACACGAGCAGGTGAATTTATAAACACACAGTGAAGTGGGCAAAAGCGGTAGTTTATCGTTCACGCATCCTCTGATCATTTGTCGGCTGCAGAAATTCATCCTTAGCTCAAATGAAAAGAAGGCTTTGCGCGGTGATCTGAATAAGCGGTTCATCGGAATCTCAGCTGCGGTATAACCTTTAAATTCAGCGTTCATAAATAGGAGTTTCTTCGGCACCCTATGAGTTCTTTTGTTTTTTACATTTTTATGTTTTTTGATGAATTTTTAAGGATATCCATTTTTCTTGATGACTCATATGACTATCCTCAGTTCACCGTCGATTGTATCACTGGTACATATCCTTCTTATTCTCGAGGTTAAAGAGTGGATCAGATATCGCTTTCTTCTCAAACAGAACCAACTGTCGAAATCAAGTGTTGACCTCTACACTTTGTTTTCTCGTAGACTGATTTTTGGAGAGAATCGTCAGATATCCTTTTTAGTAAAACATACAAAAGAGGGAATTCCGAGTTCAGCTCTGATTCCAACGTGGATTGGATAGGATGATTGCAGTTGTTGAACTCCCGTTTTTATTATCTGGATGTTGGAACTGTCGTCACATATGATGAAAGTATCGTCCATGTATCTTTGGTATATATGGAAACTATCGAATAGTGCTACTAATCATCTATCTTACTATTTATCTTCATCCACTGTTCCTGTTGATTTGGAACACTATTAATGCACAATTATACAGCCTAGTTGATGGCACTGTTGGAAGGAATGTTTGTACTGCTGCGACCGTCTGTTTAATAATTCCTATGCGTTTGAACGGAAATGAAGACAGTGAAGTCAATATTATCACTTGAGAATTTAAAACAGACGGAATTAAAGACTGTGACTGTCTCTCAAATATGCGGACTATTGATTTCATTATCGATATATTCTCTTTATTACCTGAAGCCTGCCTCGGTTAGTCAGGGTTTTTTCTTCCAAACGCCAGTCCGTCTGCGCATGCTTCAGGTTCGAGACAAGTAATGAAATCTCAGATATTCCATTAACGTCCAAATACCATTCATATGATTGTTTTATGAGAGACGATGTTAGTTTGTCGCTAGAGACCGACTAAATAAAATCCACAAAATGTGCATAACAATATCCTATATGCCCACCATAAGATATAGTTAGGGTGTCACATTTCCCAGGGATTATCCTATTGATATCGTGAGGACTATGATTCCTGTGATCTGTGGTATCCTAAAATTTTACTGGGATTATAAGGCGTCATGTTGAGAAATAGATCTGATATCGAGGCAGACAATCATGGGACGCTTTGTGAAGCGATTAATCAGAATTATATTCAACCGGCCATTTCTAGCGAAAACATAATAATCACCATTGTAGAATATATTTCAAAAGAAAACATTAAAAAAAGGCATGCATTGTTCACGATAATTACAACATAATAAACCGCGTATTTGCGAAGTCTCAGTGGATAGGATGAACAGACAAGTGTCATGTGAATAGTGTGTTGATTTGCAGTAGTCATGATTATGACCAACATTTGGTCTGAATTATTCACAAGCTTCAATATAAATAGACAGACTTGCTAACTACCTAACTGAAAATCGACCGCATGAAACATGTTTTCACATCAGATTCAAACGCTTAGCCTCTCAACATTGTGTACGACTTTAGCCGCGAATTATTGGAGGAGGCGACTGCCCTCAAGGTTGCAGTATTTTTCAGTGACGCAAAGATGATCACATCATTCTCAGATCTGTTCGTAGGATTATTGTATACCAGAGAAATAGAAGAGAAGCAATATTTACCATGCTAAATCATATTGTATTTTCGAAATGAAATAGGTGAGTGACATGCAGACTACTTTGCTCCACATTTGGCCTGACATTCCTCCTCAGTCTGGAAATTGTTTCCATTCCCGTCACAACCGCCATATGTGAATCCTTGGCATGCTCCTCTCTTCTTATCATAGAAGTAACGACGGAAGGAAGCCCGGCATTTTCCTGTCTTTTTTGGCAGATTGCAGTCATCTGGAAGTATTCAAACATTTACGAGGCATTAGTAAAGATAAGATTGCATCAAGATATATTGCGAAACAACAATGACTATGATTGTCACGACTTAGGCGGAGGACTTACGACAGGGAGGCGAAATTCCTCCAACACCATCAGTAGCCTAATTGTGTAGTCTTACATCATCCTAGTTAGTGAATTTCGGAGCACGAGTGAGCGTTCGCGTCGAATTTGCCACAACGTATATCCGCGTCAGTTATTCGAAGAATTTCCTGGGTGTGAATGCAAATGAAGTGGTGAGTTCTCATCTGCCGCAATGTATGTCAGCATTGTGGCTGATGAAACTTATGCATTTCCTATGGAAATAGGTATCTAGTGAAATGCATCACATTGCGAGCATAAGGGACTGAGGGCCATGTTCCGCTGCATGCTTATGTATAGCGTCGAGATGTGAAAACTCCGAAAGCCCTTAACAAACATACAAATTCACCGTTCAGTTTCGAAGGTGAGAAATTAAATGCACAAGTTACTGAATTCCAATTACACCCCAAATATGAATATAAATATGCAGTCACAGTATGAATTATCAGGATATCTCAACTGGAAGGCACTTACTTGGATCAAATCGGCCGCTGAAAAAGAGAAACGAAAAACATTTTGAATAAGTACGTCTCGATGTTCATCTATTGAAAACTAGTTTAACAAATGACAGCAGTTCAACATCGATACTACCTCATAACTCGTGATTCAACGCAGAAGTTGACTGTTCAGGATGGAAAGGAGTCGAACCTTCTCTCCTCTTGTTAGTCACTCAGTGTTGCGAATAGCCAAGCAGGCCTACTCAGTCGTCCTGTTCGACGCCTGTCGTTCTCAGTCGGCATCACTTATATCGCCTGATGATCACCACCTGATTATTTCCAAATGCCCGGATGAATTCAGCAGAGTAAAACACGCCAGACCGTTCTACTCTCATCAGTTTGCAAACGAACCGCCTTGATTTGGACCAAAGCACTTTCGACTAGGCATCAGGCTAAACCATAGCCACCTTTACTGTCTATGTGAGACATACTTAAAGAGTGACAATTCTACAAAGTTTTCTGCTGTTGTTGTTGTTGGTGGTGGTGATGATGATGATGTTGTTTTGGTGAAACACGAGTGAAAATAAGAGACATTTTTGAAAAGATTCTCATGCAAACTGCAAATACCTTTCTCCACAGGCTTCTTGACACGCCTCTTTCGTTAGGAAGTTATTTTGGTTACCATGGCATCCACCATAGTGGAACATAAGACATGAACCGACAGTCGAGTTGTAATAATATCGTGGGTGTATAGCCCTACATGGGCCATCCTCCATTTTTTGGAAGCAAACACCTGAAATTGAAGAATCAAGAATAAGTGTACTCGCATTCAGTCCAAATGAAGCAAACAATCAATGTGTGCAAATAGGTCAACATCATTCAACACCATTCCTACTATGGTTACGAAAGCATATTTCACTGAAGACAATTAAAACACTAAACACTTACTGTTGAAAGACAATGAATACTTGTGCGCACACAGGATGAGAAAGGCTACCGCAAATGTCTTGTAGAGCATTTCGATGGTTGGAATGATTTCGTTTGGTTTAGTTTGATTTCATTTGATTTGATTAACCTCTGCTTATATATCTTTCTACATTGATGAAAGACAGCATCTAGAGGGCGTGATCGTAATTGGGAAGGAAGGATTAGTTGCTTGATCTGATGATTAGGTCACGTACTATTTAGGTCAGTCACGTACTATTGTGATTCGGAAAGAATGTAGCGTGATGACAGTTTATCAGTGAATTATGAAACATTGCACGTAGTGGCGATTCTGTACAGAGTTGGAGTAATAATGTGAACATTACAATGAAGCTGATGATTCAAATAATGTAACATCTGAAATTGATTAATGAAAACTAGGAGTCGAGATTGATTGTTCGAAATTCCACCGAGTTTGATTGTTCATGTGCACACTGTTAAATGAATACACATAATACGAAGCTGCTTTCTCGAACACTTCACTATCGAACACCTGTTAATAAGCACCGCGTCTTATTTGTGACTGAATTATCTTGTATGTAGAATGTTGATTATCACTGGCAGAATTGATATCTCTGGAAATTGTGCGTTCTTCTCTGTGCTATTCGCAGTGCATGATTGAACCACTGTCATTAATCCATGGGGCATACAGGAATGCTGACGGTTAGCCTGGATGTTTCGTCGGGAATGATTTTTTCATGTCCCTGCCCATTGCAATGTTCTAGTGTTCAGAAAACTGTTATATCACTGATGAATGCGGTAAATTGTTGTCATAAATATATTAGGTGTTTTTTTCACTAGTGTTATTATTCATTCCTTGCACTGTAAGTGGATTCAGTGACACGTCTTCGTCTGAATGTTTTCTCTGTCGGAGTCCTTTGTCACGAAATAAAGTGAAATTCTTGGATGAAGTATCTGTGCATCTGCATAAGATAAACACAAGAGCGCCACCTAGAGAGGTCAAACATAGTTAGTCGGCTGAATCTACAAATACAAAATGCTATCGGGACTCTCAGCGTGTTATGCAAGAATATGTGTTAAGTATCGTCACCGTCTTCCGAGGTGGTTGTTGAATGTACAAACAAAAGTCAACATATTTTCGTCTCGCTCACACTCATAACCTTGATCATATCCAGCAAGCATAATCCCAAATATTCATTGAGATCTAATTGGCTGATTTCGTCATGAACTTGTTTATCAGCCTAAGTGAACAATTTCCTTCAGTTGATGGTGATTGTACAGATAAGAGAAGATAAGAAACTTCAATTGACATTTAGGCAGCTAAACGACAGCCCGCTCTTACGTTTTGGGTGGAGGACGATTGACAGCAGTATCTGAATACACATATCTATCGGAGCATTTGTTGATGAAATCGAGAAATTTGATGAGTCTCACTTTCGCTGGAAAGCACACATCTGCACTTGAGTCGGGGAGGTGGAAATTGCAAAAACAACAGTATGTATACCAACTGTTAGCTCCAGTCACTTGAGAGAAAATAACTCAGTAACTTGTCCCGCAAATGAATTTACACACCCTTTGGAATGACATAGAAATCGAGATCCAAATGTGAAGTACATGTGAGATGAACAGCAATAATAACAATAACAATAATAATGATAATAATGCCATTGCTACGAATGTTTCAGCATCGAAGGTGAATCTGTAAGCTACCATCATGCGTCATTCTGCGTTAGTTCCCGCTGCTCCCGTTTCCAGTTCTTCCGAAAATGCGAATCACTCGCTTACGCGTTTCACGCACGTCGTTCAGTCATGTCGTACGATTTGGGTCATTGCTGTAAAAACGTGTTGTCAATTGAAACAGCTGGATGGATCAAGTTATCTTAATTGAAGGCGTCACCAAATGCGTCCTATCAATGGCCTGGCGATGGAAGCGACTTATGCAGACTGATCTGTTCATTGATTGATGTTTAAACGATTGAAACACTTACACCTATTTATACGGAAAATATATGTAATCATTGACGCATCTATGTTCCGAAACTGGGATTTCGATTGTCAACGACTTGAAACATCTGGAAAGTTGGGAAACAGATATCTAACATCCATCAACAGCCTCCACTAAAAGTTCTTCTCACTGTTTCCATCATCTGGACGTGACGTAAATGTGCGTCAGCACAACCACTGGAACTCTCGACAGTGAAGTGAATGTAGAATACAATTTGTGCACACACATTCCAGAGAGTAATACTGAACGAGCCTGCTTAAAACTTTGGATACCACAATTTTCGTATATTTGTATTGCTTCTGATTACTCAGTTTCATTTTGTTTTGATTATTCAATTATTTGTCGAAATCGTATTATTTTCTGTCATGATTGCTTAAAACGTTTTCAACCGGCCGATTCACGATTTTCTAATAAACTCCATGAAAAGCATCATGATGGGTGACAAAGAGCCTTATAGTCTACTAAAGTGCATAAGGTGACTGTTCCTGTGGTTATGAGCAAAATCGCAGGTCATAATCGAGATAAATCAATTACTCGTACGCTCTATTACAGTCAAGTATTTATTAAAATACAGGTGTAAGAAGGCTTCAAGAATCCTGGCTCTACGATTTATGCAATGACAGTTTAATATCCCCCAAAGGTTTACCTATTAAAAGACAAGATTGAAGCAGTTCAAGGAAGAATCGAGGTGGTGGTGATGTTAACTTTCCACACCCGTCGAAGAAGATTGTAAATAGATGTTACTCTAAGGGGAATGTTCAGATTCTTAGGAGCATGCTCAAAGACACAAGGTGGGACTTGCTTAATGAAGACTCTCTTGATGACACTTTCTCTAATATTACAAGTTATTTCAAATTTTGTCTTGACATCTGTTGTCACAGGGAAACGCTTTTCATCACATTTGAGCGTTTTGCCTCGCCTCAACCATAAAATGCATCTCGGGGAATAGGAAAATATATAAAGTGAAGGATAACATTGGTGTGCAAAGAATTAACATCTAATGAACTTTTAAGGCGAATGGTTTTGGATTGTTAAATGCTTTAAATGATGGTTGAAGTTTAAGTAAGAGCAACTTCTCCATAGGTTTTGAGAAAGGAAAGGTGATAGCACTAGGCCTAAATTTAAAACACGTTCCAGTGGATAACTTAGATATGGGTAGAATTTTGATGTCCTTCCAAACGGCTGTCACAACATTTCTGGTAAAAGGCTCATTAAATATCTCACTGAAAGGATAAATTCGATATCCGCACATTTTTGAGAATAACGCTTGGCAAACCATCTGGTCCAAAGCTACTAGAACGCTTCAACGACTGGGTATATCTTAGAACATCATTTGTACTGAAACAAGGGACGCAGGATTCATTAACACTTGGGACACTAGAAAGCTGAGCATTTGTGGGAGAATGCATGAAAACTTGTTCTTAGTGTACACACATCAAATGATTTGAGAATACTATTCATCTGCTCACCACCAGTAATTTCTTTGAAACGTTTACGTATATTAGAGGCAATTTACAGGATATAAACTTCTGGTTATAAGTTGAATTCAACCTGTGCATTTCAGACTTGATTAGGATGTTAATTCTTTTCACACCAATGTTATCCTTCACTTTATATATTTTCCTATTCCCGGGATGCATTTTATGGTTGAGGCGAGGCAAAACGCTCAAATGTGATGAAAAGCGTTTCCCTGTGACAACAGATGTCAAGACAAAATTTGAAATAACTTGTAATATTAGAGAAAGTGTCATCAAGAGAGTCTTCATTAAGCAAGTCCCACCTTGTGTCTTTGAGCATGCTCCTAAGAATCTGAACATTCCCCTTAGAGTAACATCTATTTACAATCTTCTTCGACGGGTGTGGAAAGTTAACATCACCACCACCTCGATTCTTCCTTGAACTGCTTCAATCTTGTCTTTTAATAGGTAAACCTTTGGGGGATATTAAACTGTCATTGCATAAATCGTAGAGCCAGGATTCTTGAAGCCTTCTTACACCTGTATTTTAATAAATACTTGACTGTAATAGAGCGTACGAGTAATTGATTTATCTCGATTATGACCTGCGATTTTTGCTCATAACCACAGGAACAGTCACCTTATGCACTTTAGTAGACTATAAGGCTCTTTGTCACCCATCATGATGCTTTTCATGGAGTTTATTAGAAAATCGTGAATCGGCCGGTTGAAAACGTTTTAAGCAATCATGACAGAAAATAATACGATTTCGACAAATAATTGAATAATCAAAACAAAATGAAACTGAGTAATCAGAAGCAATACAAATATACGAAAATTGTGGTATCCAAAGTTTTAAGCAGGCTCGTTCAGTATTACTCTCTGGAATGTGTGTGCACAAATTGTATTCTACATTCACTTCACTGTCGAGAGTTCCAGTGGTTGTGCTGACGCACATTTACGTCACGTCCAGATGATGGAAACAGTGAGAAGAACTTTTAGTGGAGGCTGTTGATGGATGTTAGATATCTGTTTCCCAACTTTCCAGATGTTTCAAGTCGTTGACAATCGAAATCCCAGTTTCGGAACATAGATGCGTCAATGATTACATATATTTTCCGTATAAATAGGTGTAAGTGTTTCAATCGTTTAAACATCAATCAATGAACAGATCAGTCTGCATAAGTCGCTTCCATCGCCAGGCCATTGATAGGACGCATTTGGTGACGCCTTCAATTAAGATAACTTGATCCATCCAGCTGTTTCAATTGACAACACGTTTTTACAGCAATGACCAAATCGTACGACATGACTGAACGACGTGCGTGAAACGCGTAAGCGAGTGATTCGCATTTTCGGAAGAACTGGAAACGGGAGCAGCGGGAACTAACGCAGAATGACGCATGATGGTAGCTTACAGATTCACCTTCGATGCTGAAACATTCGTAGCAATGGCATTATTATCATTATTATTGTTATTGTTATTATTGCTGTTCATCTCACATGTACTTCACATTTGGATCTCGATTTCTATGTCATTCCAAAGGGTGTGTAAATTCATTTGCGGGACAAGTTACTGAGTTATTTTCTCTCAAGTGACTGGAGCTAACAGTTGGTATACATAACTGTTGTTTTTGCAATTTCC